CCAATTTTCGATAAACCATAAAATATATCGACTACGACGTAAATGGGGTGATTTCTCGAAAGCTAAACGAGCCTTTTATATACTGGTTGAAGTGTTGTTAGCCTTCAATACATTAGAACCAGTGTGAATTTTCCGATGAATAGGATGGAGAAAGCACTTAACTACCACACTCTTTATTCATGCAGTCAAGTTCAAAAAATAAAATTTTCAGGACATGAGAAAGACATGGAGTCGGACGCGTAGACGCGATATCCGGCTATCGACCAAAGGGCGTGTGTACTGCTCATCAGTCCGCTCCGTCCTCCTTTATGGCTGTGAGACCTGGCCATTGAGAGCAGAAAACATGAAAAGATTAGCTGTCTTCGATCATAGGTGTCTGCGTTCTATCTCTGGCGTGGTGGTATAATAAGGTGAGCAATATTGAGGTTAGGCATCGAGTTCTAGGTAAGGAGGGGAAATCAATCGACGAGGCTGTGAAGTTACATCGATCGAAAGAGATGGTTAGGACATGTGTTACGGATGCCTAGTCATCGCCTTCCTCGACCGGCAATGTTTTTATTTTTATTTTTTTTATTTTGATTTACCGCTTGATTCCACACCGTATTTTCAGTACAAGTGTGGAATTTTCAGCATGGATATCGGTAGCCGAAATTCAGGCCGACCATAGATATCGGGTGTGCGCCGGCAGGGGATCGAACCCCGGACCATGTGCATGGTCGGCGAGAGTCCTAACCACTGTGCCACCGACGCACAGGTAGGGTCAGGCTGGAAAAGAGCTAGCGGTGGTCAAATGAAAACATGGCACCAGTCAATGAAATCCACAACAGTTAGTCTAAGCCACGTAGGAAGATGTAGACTTCCTGGTTAGGGTCCTCGGGACGGTAAAAGCCAATGGTTGGAAACAATTGGTGACATGGCTCAAAATCGTTCTCAATGGCTGTCGCAGATGCATCCACTCCTTGTGACTTATGATTTCAAATGAAACTGTTTTGTTCTCCGTTATTACTATTCCTTTGTCTCACACCTCTGTTTACTGTCTATATTATGCATTTCTTCTACTTTCTTCTCTTTCTTTGTGTGCTACATGGAGTGTGGCGACTTGAACTGCCGCACATATGTGCAAAGTTCTATGTCGAAAACAGACAGACAGACATGGAGTCGGAGGAGCGAAAGAAATCTATTCAGTTTTTAAAAAAGGTTAAGAGGCAAACGTACATAACAATGCTCAACATCACAATAAGGGGTATTCAAAAAAAGCCCACGTACAAGTGACAACAATCGAGTCAACAATATCAACACTCGAGCTTAAAAACAAACAGTTAAAAATCAAGCTGGAAAAGACGGTTGATCAGACAAGAAAGTAAATCATACAATTCAGAGAGATATATCTTAGAAATACTCAAGAAATGTAGGCATAATTAACTTATGTGTGGAGCAGCACTGAAGATGATACGTAAACTGAAGTAGGAAGCACTAAAAAAAATCCCAAGTTGGAGATCAATAAAACAGTAGATTTATTCACAACGTGACCTGCAAATTTGTACCTTCATACTCTATACATCTTAAAGTCATATGGATTTGAAATAAATAACTGGTATATTTTTTCAACTGCTGACAGTTCAAAAAGACGACAGTTTATGACACTGTTACATATCAAAAGAAGTGTCTTAAATGCACCTAATATACATTACTGAGTGTGATTTTATAATTATGACGTATTAAATGTAAAATAATTGATTCAGAAGCAGAATCAGATGTCGGTGAAATACCATTTCTAAACTGCCTAGTTAAGAGGGGGGAAAACGAACATTTTAGTATATCCATATTCAGGAAGAAAATCCACTCCAACGAATATTTAGACTTCGGATCATCACAACTCATCAGCACAAAGGTATCAGTTGTTTCAAGTCTTCTTAGACGAGTACACTCTTTGATAACGGATGAGAAAGAAAAAAAGAAGAAATATCAAACATTACTGAGACTTACAGGATTTCATCATGAGCTGGCATTAGTTAGAGAACCATTGGAAAACCTGGGAGTACTGAACAGCTGTTTCGTCCTAGTTTGGGACCAAACTAGGTTTTCCAATGGTTCTCTAACTAATGCCAGCTCATGATGAAATCCTGTAACCAATCAAATCCCTACAAACCAACACTTGAAAATTACTGAGACTGTCAAGCAAAATAACTACCCAAAGAACTTCATCAACAAAATCAACACTGACATTAAATATGATCGAAAACGTATTCCAAAAACATGGACCTCAACAGTTGTCATTCCATATAGAGCAGAGACGTCAGACGATATCAGAAGAGTACTCAATAAGCTCGACATCAGAGTTTTCTTCAAAACATCAGACACACTGCGAAGCAACCTTGTCCATATAAATCCTTAAAGATTCTCTATCTAATTGTGTCTATAAAATAAAATGCTTGGAATGTGATGCGATGTACATTGGACAAACATCGTGAGAAATCAAAATCAGAAGAAATGAACACCGTAGAGCATCTGTTCGACCACCGAAAAATCCAGTTGAATTAGAAAAGCTTGAAAAATCATCAGCCATAAGTCTACACGCTATAGAATCAGGTCACAGAATTGATTTTGACAATATTGAAATAATCCACAAAAATTTCAGAAATCACAAAGAACGTCTAATATCATCAGAAGCACTTCATATCAAGTGGAATCCAAATTGTCTGAATAGGAATGATGGACTGAAACAGAATTTGACCTGGTTACAACACCTTCCTTCCCCATGAAGTGACAAAATCAACACGAATGTGATAAGCAATTTCATTATGTGAACACATGCTGCTTTTATAATTTTAAACACTTATCAAATCCAACAATCTACACCTGGTTTTGTTATCTTTACCAATTGGCCAATTTGACAACGGAAAAATGACCCCATGCTGAGGAACGATGATTAAGTTGTTATGTATAAGCTGAGATTTTGTAAATTCTGGTTTAATAATACTTTGATAAAGCTATTAGCATTAAATAGCGAAACGTCAGTAAAAACAATATCGTTTTGTTTTTCATTCATTGGGAAATACAAAAACTTCATGCAATTCTCCCCATTAATAAACTTGAACAAAGCAAGAACACCAATTGTACCAGGATAATATGAGCTCATTTTTTATTATTTCGAGGATTCTTCTCAACTGGTTACAACCTGAACGATAAAAAAATATGATTCACATTACATTAAAGATTTGAACATGCTTTTCCACGATCACAAGGAGTAATTGGTAGGAAGTAAAAGTAACATTAGTCTGGAATGATTTAACTAATTAAGAGTTACAAACACTGACTATTTATAGAATAATTCAAATGAACTGTGATCAATATTTGACAGTTTATAAATATTTATAGAATAATTAGACAATTAGGCTTGGAAACAAAAACAGAGTTGCATATATATATGTGTGTGTATAGAAACAAGGTTTAGCTAGACAGAGCATAACAAAAAAGTAGATTACGTAACTAAAGAAAATGCTTTATCTAATAGCCAATAGAAAAAAAGGAAGAGAAAAGAACAAGAAAGGGTGAGTCATGTTTAGATGAGAGAGTAGAGTTTTCTAAACAAAAAAAGGTGACTCATACAAGTTGTATATTTTTTGTTGTCACCAGGGCAGTGCAAGATTCACCACTGTCTCTTCCTGCGTACATAGATTTGGTTTAAGTCGTCTGATAGCAATTGCTTCAGCAAAGCGTAGCAAGTTAGGTTTCTTTTGCTTGTTGATTATTTTGAATGACTTCAAGTTGTCTACATTATGACCAGTGTCTAATAGATGACGCGCAATTGCACTGTTTAATACTTGTGGACCTTTCAGTCTCAGGTTCTTTGGTATGTGTGGACAAATACCCACCTCATGTTACCTCCAACTGTGTCTACCAATTTACATGTACGTGCCAAAGCACATACATTGGAAGAACAGAGAGAAGGGTTATTGTCCACATTTCTGAACACATACCAAAGAACCTGAGACTGAAAGGTCCACAAGTATTAAACAGTGCAATTGCGCGTCATCTATTAGACACTGGTCATAATGTAGACAACTTGAAGTCATTCAAAATAATCAACAAGCAAAAGAAACCTAACTTGCTACGCTTTGCTGAAGCAATTGCTATCAGACGACTTAAACCAAATCTATGTACGCAGGAAGAGACAGTGGTGAATCTTGCACTGCCCTGGTGACAACAAAAAATATACAACTTGTATGAGTCACCTTTTTTTGTTTAGAAAACTCTACTCTCTCATCTAAACATGACTCACCCTTTCTTGTTCTTTTCTCTTCCTTTTTTTCTATTGGCTATTAGATAAAGCATTTTCTTTAGTTACGTAATCTACTTTTTTGTTATGCTCTGTCTAGCTAAACCTTGTTTCTATACACACACATATATATATGCAACTCTGTTTTTGTTTCCAAGCCTAATTGTCTAATTATTCTATAAATATTTATAAACTGTCAAATATTGATCACAGTTCATTTGAATTATTCTATAAATAGTCAGTGTTTGTAACTCTTAATTAGTTAAATCATTCCACACTAATGTTAATTTTACTTCCTACCAATTACTCCTTGTGATCGTGGAAAAGCATGTTCAAATCTTTAATGTAATGTGAATCATATTTTTTTATCGTTCAGGTTGTAACCAGTTGAGAAGAATCCTCGAAATAATAAAAAATGAGCTCATATTATCCTGGTACAATTGGTGTTCTTGCTTTGTTCAAATACAAAAACCTTTATTATAATGAATCATTGAATATGGTTATGTGCACAGTTAGTTTTATGTTACAGGGTGAATTAATCAACAGGATCCTTGACTTTAGTTATATGATTTCCCTCAATTATTAGCATGATACAACTGCAAACTCTAAGGGAGTTAATAAACCTGGGCTGCTCTGTGTCAACCTATTTGCAGCAATGTAGATTCATTGCTGCTGTATAACATAAATTTGTACCACTTTCAAAAAAAAAGTAAAATATTACCTTAAGTATCTTACAACATCCTTTTCACTTAGTGTTTTCATAGCGCTGATTGAATTCAGTGGAATGCACAAGCCCAAATTAAGCAGTTCTTGAGGAATATTACAACAAGAAAATTCGAAGTTAAGAGGGTGGTCACTAGGCGATTTTCTGTCATTATGCTGATCATGATCATCACTATCATGTGAACTGGCCAATTTAATTTCATTGCTGACAGCATCATCGTGACTATCATTACCAGAATGAGAAGCGATATAAGCTTCTTTTTGGGCAACTGCAGTCTTGCTTGCATCGAAACATAACGACTCTGGAGTAACTAACAAAACACCATCAATCAAATTCTGAAAAGATGAAACCAACATTGAGAAAAAATTTTCAGAATAAGGTGGCATGTAATAAGATACAACACTACTGACACTGACAGATAAGAAGTGAATAATATTCACAAATCACCTCAAAATAAAAGATAGATCGTTAAACAACTCAGTTACCAATATTATATATATTCCAGTCTTGTTTTATGACTAATGCTTCTCAATCAATGAAAACAATATGAACACTGAAGTGAATCATATCACAAGCATACGTGACTAGAAATCTTCTAGTTCAATTTTACTCTTTTTGCCCTTCATAAGCAACGAGACACCAACGACAATTAGTCCACTTCATCTATTTCAATTCTTAATTTTGGTTTTGTGAACTAAAAATTCCAATCGGAAATTGAATATACAATCCTTCACCACAGTTGACCTTTCTGTGTAACGCAATCCTAAGAGAACTCTAATGTGATTTCGATGACTCAGTTGTGTAGTAGCATCAAGCTGCAGCACTAAGTGATTCGATTTCAAGGAGGTTGAGAGGTACAATTCATTCTAAGACTTTAACTTGTTAATTACGCCCACTTGGCGTAAAGATATAAGTTGCAGAGCCAGATTTTTAATGATAACGTCAAATATCGATGAATTCCAAAGTTAGCATATCGTGAAGGCTATAAATGCACCAACTCGAAGAAATATCAGTACTGTTAAACTAACATTTATGCCTAACTGTCCCCAATCATTCATGACTAAATGCAGTCACTAGGAGACGATGTAACTTATTGTAAAAGACCTACTTCACATCAAATAAATCACAACAATCATGCTATAACCGAATGATGATCTCACCCTAAGGTCAGCTTACTAGACATCGCTAATCAGAGCTCAATATATTTCTATAAGCATCCACATTCTACTTCTGTCTGTAGGTGATAACTGTGAATCATAGTCTTTTATACTGACTAGGATTTGATGAGCTACTATACCTAGAAAACTTTCAAGGTGTGAGAATGTGTCTACATGTGATGAAAAAATGAAACAAAACGTAAACTCACGTCAAGATTTTTTAAAACACGGTGAGCCTCCACTTTAACAAATTGACGTTCCAAAGCATCATCATCAATGGAGCCAGAAGACTGAGGAGAGACCCGTACGCGTGTGGTATAAAAGAAAGGTTCAACAGGTAAATATCCTGTGTTCTTGCCACCAGCATTTTGTTTGTCCGCATCTTCTACGCGCAATGCCACACCTGGAAGACGTTTTATTTTGGTTGACTGAAAAGGGATAACAGGAATATGGTATATATATATGATCATTAAGCAATCATCTGATTGACTTTTACTTACATCCACCCAACTAATATTATATCACTCAAACGACTGAGTTACTGATATTTATTCTACTAAGAGACATCTAATCTGACGCTTGACTCGGTAGCATCTCGCTGATCCTAGGCCCGGAAAAAGAGGGAAGGTTGGGCGTGGGGACAGCCACCTCACACCGGAAAATCAGCCCAATCGCTACAGAAACTTCAGAGCACAGCAAAAATACAAAAAATATCGGAAAGGCAAGAAAGACACTGATTACTCTGAGGTCATTATAGGATCTGCTGCAATCAGAGTAAGGAACAAGATTCGAATTTTCAACATCCACGTCAAATCAGTGCTTTTATATGTTCCAGAGATTTGGTGCGTCATAAAGGGCGTTTCTGGCAGGTTGCAGACTTTCCATGGCTCGATAATGAAGATCAGATGGCCAACCAGTTGAGATAAGAAACCAGGAACTCTGGGAAGGTAAAAACCAAGAACCTATTGCCCAACAAATATGCCGAAGCAAATGTGGATGGATCGAACACACGCGAGACTATTGAGTTACATTGTAACGTAATTTAATTCCCACAGTAACTAGAGGTTGTAACAACTAACCTATTCAATATTGGAAGTGTAACCAGTTAGAAAATGATGGGTAATATTAACTATTGAAGATGAAACTCATTAAAGCTAACTGTAAACGGTTTCACTCCATTTTCTTTCTAATAATCTTTAATGAATCCAAAAAATATGGTATCAGACAAAATTGTAACAAAGAATGAAAATGTGAGTCAGTCGTTACACATTTGATGCATGTACAGCTGTGTAGATGATACTGAACATTCTTGAAGAATCTGTATTTATGAGAATTTAGGATGCTGAAAAACATTTTACTTATTATGTATCACATGCAGTAAATTCGGTCGGTCGGTTTTCGACATAGAACTTTGCACCGATGTGCGGCAGTTCAAGTCGCCACACTCCACGTAGCACACAAAGAAAGAGAAGAAAGTAGAAGAAATGCATAATATAGACAGTAAACAGAGGTGTGAGACAAAGGAATAGTAACAACGAAGAACAAAACAGTTTCATCGGAAATCATAAGTCACAAGGAGTGGATGCATCTGCGCCAGCCATTGAAAACGATTTTGAGCCATGTCACCAATTGTTTCCAACCATTGGCTTCTACCGTCCCGAGGACCCCAACCAGTCAGAAAGTCTACATCTTCCTACGTGGTTTAGACTAACTGTTGTGGATTTCATTGACTGGTGC